TATAAACACAATGAGCTCTGAGCACATTTTGTTTGTTTGAGTGTAGGTGACTGAGCTGGCTCCTCTGGGCTCCCTGTTGGATCGGCTCAGAAAGCGGCAGGGTCACATCCTCATCTCCTCGCTGTGTAACTATGCCGTGCAGGTCAGTTAATACCGAAAGGAAAAAATCCCACAATGAAATTCAGTTTTATCACACTGTTCTCTCTAGTAGACTTTCTTGAGTACAGCTTCCATAATATTTGTACATTTGTTTAAATTTAAATGTTTATTTGTTAGAGATACAGCTCTCACTGTTTTATGACATTTCCCATGTATAAGAATGCAAAAATGCTCCCATCTGTCACTCCACACCTTCTCCACAGGTGGCCTGTGGGATGGCTTACCTGGAGCAGAAGCGTTTCCTCCACAGGGACCTCGCAGCCCGTAATGTGCTTCTGTCCACCAATGAAACTGTGAAGATCGGAGACTTTGGCCTAATGAGGGCACTGCCTAAACACACCGACCAATACGTCATGGAGGAAGGCCACAAAATCCCTTTCCCATGGTGAGAGTGACTTTTTTCTGTCTCTACATACTATCTGTGTTTCATTATCTCAGCATCTCAGTTGTTTTTCACCGATCTCTCCAGGTGTGCTCCAGAGTCTCTGAAGTCTCGCACTTTCTCTCACGCATCTGACACCTGGATGTTTGGGGTCACCCTTTGGGAGATGTTCACCCACGGACAGGAGCCGTGGCTGGGTCTGAATGGGAGCCAGGTGCATCTTTGAACAACCCTCCGCCATAAAAAATAATATAAATGAATTATTCATTAGCTTCAGCTAATCACGCTACTATTTATGTGTCGGTTTACAGATCCTTCACAAGGTGGACGTGGAAGCTGAGAGGCTGTGTAAACCAGACGATTGTCCTCAGGATATCTACAATGTGATGCTGCAGTGCTGGAGCCCCAAACCTGAAGACAGACCAACTTTCATTGCCCTCAGAGACTTCCTGCTCGAGGTAGCACAGTAGTTTAAGTAAAACACTGTCTATCGTAATCAGTAAATGTGCTTCAGGAAACCATTCTTTGTTGGCTGCAAGTATGAATTCCATGTCTAAAGGCTGTCTTTGACTCTGCTGGTGACACTGACGACACTGTGTGTGCTCTGCAGACCATGCCCACAGATATGAGAGCCCTGCAGGACTTTGAGGAGGAAGACAAGCTCCAGATTACAATGAATGATGTAATCACCATCATTGAAGGAAGGTCAGTGTGTGATGTTTTGTTAGCTAGAACATACCTGTAAGGCATCCTTTTAGCCTGATTTTGAGAGAGAAAGCAGTTTCTTAATCAGCTTAGTGGGTTTGAGAGTCGTGCTTATATAAGTGCCTACTAGACAACGGATCTCCCGTTGAAACTGAATTCCTTACATTGTAGAAAATTACTGCAATTATAATCTTATGACTTCCTTATCACATTAATATGCGTGTGTCCATTGTATATATTGTATGTCTGTAACTACCTAACTACTAAATTAAAACCCAGAAGTTGGCAATTAAGAACGTGTACTGCTACAAGAATGCACATTACTGTAGGACAGTCACCACGTTGTTTTCATACCTGTTTGTGTGTTTTCAGGGCAGAGCACTACTGGTGGCGAGGTCAGAACAGGCGCACACTGCGTGTCGGTCAGTTTCCCCGTCATGTAGTGACGTCAGTCGCCGGTCTTTCCGCCCAGGACATCAGCCGGCCACTTAAACACTCTTTTATACACACTGGACATGGAGACACAGACCCCCAGAGGAGCTGGGGACACGCAGACCGCATAGACAGGTTAATGATACAGTACCTACAGTAATGTAGTGTCATACAGTGTGCTTCGTCAGATGTGACTGTGCTCTCTGCGTCCGTGGATGGCTGTAGGCTGCTGTACAAATGTTAGAGTCCCACCACAAGTCCAGAACACAGAAATAGAAAACTGGAAAATGAATCTATTACAGAATAGACTCTTCTTTAAAAACAGGTTAGGAAGGAGGATTCATAGATTTGTGTTATTTACATTAGGATTCCACAATGATAAGGCAGGAGAACGGATAACAGTCCTAAAAAAAATCAGTTTGAGAGAAAAAAATCACATAAAGACAAAGCACTAAAATTGCGTTTTAACTAAAACCTTGCATGTACTCTTTTAAGACTGCCTATACTGCAGCTCCCCACTAGAGGGCAGCTGTGTATCATGCATAGTTAAACAGATGTTTTACTGTTGAGCTTTAGGGGATTTTAGAAGACACGTCCACATCACTACACTGTTTGCAACAACAGAGGAGTAGTGAAATAATTTTACTGATGTTCCAGTACCTACAACGGGATTATTAACATGTTATTAACAAGTATGTTTATTAGCTTCAACCAGCTTCAGTATGAGTTAAAGGAGGGGACTTGGACTTATTTTCAATTTTAAACTTTTATTACATAAAAATGATTTTCTGTCCTTAGCCTGTACTTGGGGAACCCCATGGACCCTCCTGATGTCCTGGGAATGGATTCAGGCATTGCGAGACCGACCAAACTTCCCAACCGTGCCAAGAGTAAATTCATTTGTGCCGTGAGACTGTATTTTTGCTGAATAGTGATCTAACTTTTCTGTTACACCGATGCATGTCAAATCGAACCTAAACGCCTTTGTCTGTTTTTTATCAGAGCTACCTCCCCCTCGTCCACCCCAACCAGCCGTTCTGCTCAAGAGTGAGATTTTTTCTTTAATCCTTCAAACACATGCATGTCAGTAGAAGCAATTTTCTAAATCCAGTGTTTCATGTGTGTCCAGAGCCGTTCTACGACTCTGTGATGGACGATTACGATGACGAGGAAGACGCCAGCGCGTCGTCTGGGTTGAAGAAGCTGGGAGCATCCCTGGGTCTGAAGCTTCGGCCGTGGGAGGGGACAGGCGTGCGTTCAGCCAAGAGCGAGGTGTCGCTTATTGACTTCACAGATGACAGTTTCAGCTCTACCACACCTTCTCCGCTCACTGAGTCTCGGCAGCTGGATGAGGACACCCTAAAGGTAGCTCAGGCCTGAGTCAGACTGTAATAGTTGATGCTCTTACCCTCATTAGTAAGAGGTTTTTTTTGTACTTCACCTAATGTGACTTCAAGTCCCATTTGAGTCCCATTTCCCCTTTCATTATGGCCTAGAACTGTCTTTTAATGAGCTGTTGAGGGTTGATCAAGCTGAGGTTGGCATGATTCTTTTCCTTCTTTGAATGTCACCCACTCCCCGAGTGGAACCATCCTGTAATCACAGCAGAGGGGTCTTATATTCCCAGCTCATCTGGAGAATTAGCCATCTGATCTTTTCAGTTCACACTCTACAACTAAACAATGATTGTGATGTAGTTCAAAGGTTTTCAAGACACATGAGGGACCTTACACGGCCACATGCATGGCAGTACCCTCAATCAAGTGTAGGTGGTGCACGCACAGCTTGAAATCTTTGCCACTACTCACAAATGATGAGCTGTCTTGTTCCCCAGAGTCAGTGGTCCAACCTTTGGCCTAGAAATGTCATAAATAACCCCTTCCGCTTGAATTCACCCAACGCGCGTGCAATGTGATGGATGATCAGTACTTATTGATTGATAATGTACACGTTCACGCTTTAGTGGTCTTCAGCGGAGTTGTACAGTAATTCCACCTCATACCTTCAGTCTGCCTTCGATCATCCTGACCAAGCTGCAGCTTCATGATATTTATACTGAAGTTTTTGAAGTAAAAGTAAAATTTATTTATATAGCACTTTTTAAGAAAGGAAGCTATTACAAAGTGCTTCACATGGAAATAGAAAAGCATTTCAAACAAATCAAATCACTTTTAGTGTCACGTCACATTACTGGTACACTGATGTTGGTATGGTGTATATATGTATATATATATATATGTATATATATATATATATATATGTGTATATGTGTGTGTGTATATATACATACATATATGTAAAATATACAGAGGTCAGCAGTTTGAATATTGTGCACAAAAATGGCATATATGTACATTATGGAGTGCATAGTGTTGAAGATCCGGTAGGTGAGAGCGAGGTGTCTATGAAGTGTTCAGCAGTCTGGTGGCCCGAGGGGAAAAAGCTGTCCCTCATTCTGCTGGTTCGGGACGGATACTGCAGAACCTCCTGCCTGACCGAAGTAGTTTGAACAGTTTATGGCTGGGGTGAGTGGAGCCTTGATGATCCTACCCACTTTCCTCAGGCAACACCACCACCTCCAATTATCCTTTCAGAACACAGCACCACTCTCTGGAGAGCTTTGCGGTTGTAACCGGTGCTGTTGCCATAGCACGTGGCGATGCATCCAGTGAGGATGCTCTTAATGGCACAGCAGTAGAAGGTCCTGAGGATGTGGGGGCTCATGCTGAATCACTTCAGACTCCTGAGAAAGAAGAGGCACTGCTGCGACTTCTTCACTGTTTTGTGTGTACTGACCATGTGAGATCCCTCGCCAGATGTCGCCTAGGAAACGGAAGCTGCTCACTCTCTCGTGATGGTGATGGGGGTATGTGCTTCCCTACACCTCTGGAAGCCCACTATCAACTCTTTTGTCTTTGTGAGTTTGAGGGTGAGATGGTTCTCTTGGCACCAGTGTGTCAGGGCGCTGACCTCCTCCCTGTAAGCCATCTCATCACCTTTGGTGACCACCACCACCAAACAAACAATATAACAATATTGAATAACTGAAACTTGTGACTAAAAAAAAACTCTAACCCTAAGGAGGTGGACCTTAATAGGTCAACCAAAAATGACCACTTCCAGCTTCTGGGTTCTGTAATAGTTTTCTTAAACAGAGCTGTACTGTTGGCTAAACAAGGTTAACTTAATATCTTGGCTTGAACATTTAAAAAAAGAAAGACAGAGGATATCCAGACCTTTGCAAAACAAATTTTCAGGATTTTCTGGCTGAAAGTCAGGTTTTCTTGACCGACAGTGGGTAACTATGCATAAATAAATATAAATGTAATGATGATTTGGTACCACATTTGATGGAAATAGGTGCATTTTCTGGTTATTTCTGAAGAATTAATGAGCACAAATGTGAGTAATTCAAACCCCAGTGAACACAAAGAAGAAATATTACTGCAGCAGTGATGATTTCCTTTTGGCTCTGGCTCAAACTTTTTTTTTTTCATCATGCAGGAAAAATCTTAATAACGTTGGATAACTTTTCCTTGTATCTATTTGTCTTCTCAGGACACTCCCTCCATTCTGGACTGGCCTCTCCCCCAGCCAGCGTACGATGAAGTTACTGCAGAGCCTGCGGATCAATCAGAGGACCAGGAAGTGCGGTCCATATACAAAGGGTTGACTGAAGAAGCTTCTTCATCCGCTGGTGGTGGCTTGACAGGAAGGAGCGAATCCCAGTCAGCTGACCTCTTCCAGGAGCTACAGAGGGAGGTAGTGAAAGCTGTATTAATGCCATTCGGGATCGATTTTTACTCTTAAATTATCACCCAAGCTAACATAAAGCTGCTGTTTCTCTGTTGATGTAGGTGATGGTGAAGCTGCAGGTTCCAATGGCAACAGGCCGCTCCCTCCCCTCCTCCCCACTCCCCATGCCTCTGGCTCCTTTGGGCCCGCACCGACAGATCTATCTTCCCCCTCCATCTCCCTCGTCTGCCTCCTCCTTCGCCTCCTGCTTTGAGGACAGGCCTGTGCTGCCTCCTCGCAGTCCCGTCCCTCCTCTGCGTCCCTCCAAACACAACCTCTCCGCCCGTGCCATAAACCCAGAAGCACGCACCAGCTCCATTTCACTGGGCAACGATGATGACACACCTCCTCAGATCCCACCCAGAGACCACGCCTTTTCTCAGCCAGGCTCCCGCTCCTCGTCACCTGTAGCATTGCCACCTCCTCCTCTCGCCGTCTCGCCCCGTCGGGCATCGGGACTGCTGGGTCCACTCCTGTCCTCCAACTCTCCATCGTCGTCTTCCTCTTTGCCTCAAGCTTCATCCCATTCCTCACGCTTAGGACTTCCTGGCTCATCGTACTCCTCCACGTCCTTACTGGATCCACTCGCCTTTCGTGAGGGGCGTGGCCTTTCCTCACTGATTGACAGTTCGCAGAGCTCTGCCCCCGTTCCACTGCCGGAGAGACCAGCTTTCCTGGAGAGGTGAGTTTTTCATGGAGGCAGATTTTTATGGGTGGAGAGCAAAAAACAAATTTGTTCCCTTGATAATTTATATTTCTTCCAGAGCATATATGTATAAACAAAAAATAGTCCTCAAATGTAATGTTGGGGTAACATTATATTTTTGCCAGCTCAGTGTTAGAGATTTTTGTGTCTCTGACATCAGCACTGCACCCTACCAAAAAAAACAAGGGACCAATCAAGTGAAATGGTACACGTGTACACTGGGGTGTTTGTGCATGTGAGGGATCATCCAATTAACCCCTGCATTGCGTGACATTAACTAAATGGCACGTGTGCTCCTTCTTCAACGCTTACTGACTTTACACGGATATATTTATTTCCAAATTTCCCACAGTGTAAATAACAAGTGAAAAATACCCACAATTATGTGAATAACACATAGGTTGAAATGTGACATAATTTTTATTTATTATTATTTATTTTCATGAAGATCAGGAGCTAAAGTGAGTCATCAAATCACTTGGCATGAGGCATTGCTATTTTATTAGCATTTGTTGTAAAAGAATATTTTTTCAGCTTGTTTAAATTTGTCGTCAAGCTGTTGAAACAAAGCTCACATCTGTGTGCCGAGTTCAGGGGGGACCCCAATACAGAAAACAAGCTAGCTTTTAAACCAGGAAGACAGGACTGTGGGCGCCCACCAACCACTTGCCAGTTTGGACCTCATTTGTCCTTCATAGCATCCTTAAGTCTTCATACCATAGATTAACGAGGAGCTGGAAACATTCCTCAGATATTTGGGTCCATATCGACATAAAAGCATCACACAGGTGCTGCACATTCGTGATGCCAATCTCCTGTTTCACTGCATCCTGAAGGTGCTCTAATGGACTGAGACGTGGTGACTGTAGAGGCCACATTTTACTCATTTTCATTTTGCAAAATATACTCATGTATGCTGTGGTGTTTAAGTGACACTCATTTGGTTCCAAGAAAATATAATCCACATCATTACACAACCACCACCAGCCTGAACTGTTGATACAAGGCAGGATGGATCCATGATTTCTGACCCTACCATCTGAATGTTGCTGCGGAAATGTACTCATCAGACAAGGCGCCAGTCTTCCAATCTTCAGTAATTCAGTTTTAGTGAGCGTGTACAAACTGTAGTGTCAGTTTCCTGTTTTTAGCTGACAGGAGGTTTGACATGCAGTGACTTCATCCCAACTTTTTAAGTAACACAGTTATGAAAGCAAATAAAAGCTCATACTAAATAAATGTTTTATAGTTGGAAAATGTCGTCAGCGACTTATTATTACGAGAATTTCTTCAGTGCAATAGTAAAATTTCAGATGTCATTCACAGAGAAACATCATCAGCTAAGGGGCGATGGTGGCTCAAGAGTTGGACGTTTGTCTTGTAATTGGAAGGTTGCCGGTTTGAGCCCCGGCTCGGACAGTCTCTGTTGTTGTGTCCTTGGGCAAGACACTTCCCCCGTTGCCTGCTGGTGGTGGCCAGAGGGCCCGGTGGCGCCAGTGTCCAGCAGCCTCGCCTCTGTCAGTGCGCCCCAAAGTGGCTGTGGCTACAATGTAGCTTGCCATCACCAGTGTGTGAATGGGTGGATGACTGAATGTAATGTAAAGCGCTTTGGGGTCCTTAGGGACAAAGTAAAGCGCTATACAAATACAGGCCATTTACCATTCAAAATAATTCATATGCCATATTTCATGTTTCTTAACAGATACGGAGCAGCCAACATGGCGGCAGTCAAACCTATGATGCAGCAGCACCCTAGTGGAGCCAAACCGAACACCTCCTACAACAACAATAACGGCCGAGCTGCAGCTCCCAGCATTCAACGGGAACAGAGCATCACACAGGTGAGGGAGATCATAAGGAATGTCACTTTTTCTATTAAAATCATTCATAACTATTATTTGTTGAGAGTCACAGAAATGACAAACACCGAATGCTGTTGTTTTCCACAAGCAGACAAATTAGAGTAACTGATTTCTAGATAACATATGAAAAGCTAAATTGTCCCTTTTTATTGAATTCACATCCTTTTATCAACAAAGCTTTTAATTGCGAGAATGTAATGCTCAAAAAGCTGCAGATTTGAAACATATTCATATGGTTTTAACATTACCTGAGGAAGAATAATATTAAAAAAGAAAATCATTAACTTTATTACTAATTTCATTGGGACTGCGAATTAGGGAAAAGCTTCAAGGGACTTGTGGCTAATTTAAAAACAGTTTGATTCATTGCAAAAGTGACTGAGAGAGTTTAAAAAGAAGGAAACCTGCTCGTTTTGTCACTTCTTCTCTTCGTACAAGCATAGTAACAAATATGCCCACGCAGAGTTACTCTCTTAAATAAAAGTAGATTTCTTTTCATGTGTATCAATATGACAGTTGCACTTCTTTAAAATGCAAACATGACGTTAAGTTTATTGTCTGATCGTCAGGTCCAAGGAGCTGTGCACGGTGTCACGATAGAGGAGTGTCAGGCTGCTCTGCAGAGCCACGAGTGGAGCATCCCTCAGGCCATAAACCATTTAAAGGTGCAACTATCTGTCGATACACCTTCCTAGTTTATTTGTTGCTGTTAACAAAGAATATATAAATGAATCAAAGCGCAAAAAAGTGACATTAACAGCTATTAAGTGTGTTACTGACCTCTTGCAGTTACTGATGGACCATAAACTGCTCTGTAAACTGTCTGATCCAACACAGCAGAAAATTGAAAACAGAATTGCTGAAAAAGAAAAGAATCAATGTGTTGCAATAGCCGAAAGTCCAGACCTCAGTGGGAAGATATAAGAGCTGTGCATAAATGAATGCACTTAAACCTCAATGAAGCAACTATTAAAGAAGAGCGGGCCAAAATTCAAGCTTGTGATGTCAGATACTGATAAAGTCCTACAAAAAGCGATTACTTCAGATTATTGCTGCTAAAGGTGTTTCTACAAGCTATTAAATCATGGGGTGTACTTAGCTTTCCACATGCTGATTCTACATTTTGGCTTAGTCTTGTCACATAAAGACAAGACTAATAATGGCACGTTCAACCATAGAACTGAAAGAGGGTTATATACCATTTATTGTAAACACACACATTGAGTTACGGAGGTCACTGATTGTTTTTGTCCTGTGCTTTTAAAGGTCTTATTATAATTAATGAAACTGGATTAAATTGTTTTCTTTCAATTTTAACATTTAAGCCATTAAGTGGCTCTGCTTTTGAGAAGTACATAGGTAGCTAAAGTTTATTGTTATCATAAAGGTTAGGATGTGGGAGCTTTTCTGTTGCTAAAGAAAGCCAGTGTTCATGCTGCAAAAGAGCATCAGAACATCAAGAAGAGAGATAAATGTAGTAAAAACAATGATGGTAAATCACGTGTCTAAAATGCTTCTTTCACCATCTGCGCTGTAGGTCGAGCAGCTGTTTCGGCTAGGGCTGCGTTCAAGAGCCGAGTGCGAGGAGCTGCTGCAGCATCACCAGTGGGACCTGGAACATGCCAGCACGGTCATGCTGGACACATACGGACCACATCGCAACAGGTAATCAAAAGTAAATGGACAGAAAAGAGCGGATGCCCACTTTGTTTTTTGTAGTACTGAGCTCTGAGTTACTACTGTCTGCAGCGGCTGATGTCTCTCCCAGGTTGAAACCTGCTTTTAATGTGCCGCTAAGTTTGTCAGCATGACATGACAGCACGAGCAAAAATGTGCTAACGATCCATCTGCTTCATCCTCCTGTCAGACTTCTGCTCCGGTCGCTTTTAAGGAATATTTTATACACTTCTTAACCTGTGGCTGTCAAATTTCTGACTTCTGGCTCGTTGACACAGTGAGAAAAAGAACTTGAGCTAAAATAATCTCTCAAGTAATTTTCTTATTTTAGATTTTCAGTTGGTCATATTGGAAAGAGTGCTTTTAAAAAAAAAAAAAAACCTCAAGTTCTCATTTTTACTTTTATCTAACTTTATGGATTTTGCTTTTGTCATTCATTTATTTGTTGTCCACAGTAAGCGTCATTATATGTCAGCTCAGACACAGCTGACACTCAGCGATCATTCTCATCAAAGTAATAAACTTTTGTCACTGGTATGTAACTGCTACTGTCACTAGGGGGCAGTGTCAAAAGTATGTGGAACCACTGAATGTGGAAGCTTTTTGGAGCCAGAGGTAAATTATCCACTAAGACTTGCAGGCTTGATTTGTAAAATACAGACACAGACTCCTGCTATTAAGTTTGCAGTAAGATTAAGTATCTGGATTTCTGTTTGTACAGTTGACTACACTGCAAAAAAAATTTAAAAAAGGAAAAAATAACAGCAAAAACGTGGTAAAGAGGAGATCAGCAAGTCATATTCTGCTGTGGTGACAGCTAACAGAAAACCAACAGCCTCGTAAAAATCCATCTGTCATTCACGCATCCCCAATAAAAATGTGAGCAGGTGAGCTTAGTTAGAAACATGAGTAACTGTGAACACGAAATTTAGATGTAGAAGCAACATGTTTATTTGTTCTGTAAGTTTAGGAATTTTAGCACACGATTCACTGCTTTTTTTCTAGCCAATCTCCAGTTGCCACTACGGGAAGTGCAGTTTTTGGCTTCATTTTTCAGCCCTGCTTAGAGCTTAAACACTCAGCGTTCAGCGATTGTTTGCTGGTTTACAGAATCCTAAACAAAGAAGCTGATATTGTACATTGTTTTTCTGCTTCTTAGGAAGTGACAGCAGGAGGACAAATTGAGCGGCAGTCACCTTCTGACAAGCTCCCGAGCTCATCTGGATCAGCGCGATGACACCGAGTCGGCAGGATGACTCATTGCTCCAAAGACCAGAGACGCTTTTTAATGACCATTAAAAAGCGTCTCTGAAGCAGCATATGTGAATACCTGCTACTACCTGTGTCACTCACATGCATGCTCACTATAACCTAAAGGAGCAGCTGTTACATGATTCACAATATTTACTTGAACAGTTGTTATTTATCTTTTTTTGTTGTTCCTTTTTTATCATTGCATTAATCCAGAGTTTGTTTCAGCTGGTAGCTGCTGCAGACTTTTTCTGGTTGTGAGGTTGTTGTAGAGGCCTGTGTGTGTGTGTGTGTGTGCGTGCGTGTGTGTGCATAAGCTTACTGTAATGTCAAATGGCTTTTTGCTGTCAAAAAGAATCAGGGAGGTATGAGCTGGCGTATAGTTGCACTTTTAGGAAAAATATACAAATAATGTTGTATAAAACATTTTACCGAGCAAGTCAACAAAGATGCTAACTGCTGGTCAGAAGAACAATCTATCAGTGAAGTGAAAATGTTGATATGACTGAAAGCATATCAGATATTGTTATTATTACTGTATTTTTGTGTCTTAAAGGTTCCATGTGGAGTTTTCATGTAAAAAGGCACTCAAAAGTCTTGAAACCTGCGTTCTTCACATCCCAGCATGTCGTCGTCTTTCCTGCCGTCGCTGGCAAATTGCAATGTGAATCGTAAACAAACTGCTTCACAGTGCTTTGAGAGTTCAAGAACTCCACAGGTTGCCTTTAAGCAAAACATTTCTGGCTTTACAACAGCAGGAATTGTGAGAGTGATGTCTTTAGTTTTTATTATAAGAATATTCCTACCGTTTCCTCGTGGATACAGGGTATTAGTCAAATCTCTGCAAATTAGATATCTACTGCTACTTTAAACTCATGGTTAGTATTTCTTACTGTGATTCTGCTGTATGATAATCATCATGCTGAAAAACCTGTCACGCACTTGATTTAGTGGGCTACTGCTACGTGCTGTCGATGCCAAATTTCATAATGCGTGTGTACAGATATTAATCATTTTAACAGCTACATGGAAAAGTTTCTTTTTTTTTACAAAAAAACAAACAACAAAACTGGAAAATTAAACTTCAGACAGGTGGTAGCAGCTTGGTGAATATGTTTATAGCAGTCATAACTCAGTATGTGTGAAGCATTCAGTTAAGCTCAACTATGAAATCTGTTTAATGTGACACTGACTATAATGTACTGTTTAATCTGAGTTGCTTACAAATGTAAAATGCAAATATGGCCTTTGTTGTTTTATAATAAACTGTAATCTCATTTCTGAAAGCTTTCCTGTGGTTATTTCATTAGTTGGATACAGCGGGAAGACTGGAAGGCACAAAGCGGAGATGGAACTGGTGGTTGGCAAAGATGTTAAGGATATGGGAGTCTGATTGTAATGGGATAAACTAATCTTTTGATTAAATAATGTCAAATTAACTGAAAAAATCCCCCTAAAACTATTTTGTTTACACCAGATCAAGTGGACCCTGAAGCACGATGTGACACTGGAATCAGGCTAAGAGAAGATGTAAGGGAATGGGAGCATGGATCCTGAGGCTGCGTTCTCGGAGTGGTAAAAGTGAGTGGGCAGGTATTAAAGGTATCTGATGTGTGGCCTCAACACAGGAAAGCCAAAATTAATCCCTGAGATTGTTTCCCCAGGGAAACACAAAGACCTAGAGGTTTCTCTAGGGAGCCTGATACAAGTAGTAGTGAGTGGATGAGCCAGCATTTAATGGGCCCCAGACAACTAGTTTAAGCTGAGACGTGCAATGAATTATGGACACCATTTGTAGGTGATTTGAAATGGGCTGCAGAAGGTATCACACTGCCAACTTCAAAACATCCAATGAACCTGGGTGACAATCTTTTTGGACTTGGTCTTTGATGGAATATCCTTTTATGCTGTAGGAGGTCAGAACAGTCTGTCAAGCATTTATTTTGGTTGACTCTCAGGAGTAAGGTTTCCCTTGCAGTTCTCCAAATCCTGCATGGAGTTGGATGGAGGGACCACCAAATTCTCCCTCCAATGCTAGGAATCAGGAAGGCTGATAACCTAAAGAACACTCAAAAGTCACTGTGTTGTGTGCATATTTTCTCCATGATGAATGAAAGCTCCAGATAGGGTTGCTTTCAGTTCTTGGTTAGGACTCAGTCGTGTGGCTTTTGAATAGAGCCGAAACCCTTCCACACTTTGAAGGGCCTTAGCCCCATATCTTGTCAGTGGGTATATACACGCTGTAAAGTGATCTGGTCACTGTGAAGCCTTTTTTCACTGGCTGTCACAGAAGTGTCCCAAAAGAAGTGATTGAATGCTTTCTCCAAGTGCAAAAAACACATGCATGCAAATCCTCAGATATCCTCAAGAGTATAGAGTTGTTGCCAGGACATAAAACCCATTTTTCCTCTTCAATCCAAGGTTCGACTAGTGGACAGTCTACTCTCCAGTCACCTTTCAAAGGATTGTGAAGCTGGGGCACATCCTCCGACCACGTATCTTAAAAGGTTTGCCAATCCAGAGACTCTGTCCCAGGTTAGCCCTACAACATCCAAGGACTCAGGGCAAATTTCATTCAATGAGTTTATTCAAAGAATTTATTAACAGCCTCTGTAACCTCAGCCCTAATGATGGGCGAGTTGGTCCTCTTCTTCCCATATTCCTGTACTTCCTCTACCAAAAATATCTCACTTCAGTTCAGGAGACCATTGAAGTATTTTTTTCATTTGCCTCACTGCATTCTCAGCTATAATATATAAGAAATCTACATATGGTTTTATTAGAAAATCACCTTCGGGACCTCTATTATACATGAGTATAATACAATGAGTATCCATCTTTATCCATGTTTATGGCATATCTTCAGACTTTAGTCACCAGGAAATATGGCAATCGCAGTTCTAGAGTTCAAGTAAACCTGTCCAAGTATTCTATCTTAGTCACAAGCTCGCTTCCTGTATCTAATGGAAGTCTACTCTGCTTCCTCTGGGACCATCTCCTCTGTCTTCCCCTCTCTCTCACGCACACTCTCTCCTTGAATTGACTGCAGCTGCAGTGCATTGTGGTCTGATTGCCCAGTGTGATCCCTGGACAGCACCCGGACGCTCACACTGCACTTCTCAGCTACAGCAGTAAGCACTCTGTCACTTTCACCGATGATGAATGGGACACACACATACATACTGCACTCACACACATACTTTGTGCCTCACGCACACACAAAAGAGGCGAGTAGAAAATGGGCTGTGGTGATCAAGAGGTGTCATCAAATTCCTGCTTAATATCACCCAAAATCACTTAATTTGATATTTGCTTCTAGTGTTATCATGATTATGTAAACTTAGCTACAGCATTAGATAGATGCATGATCGATTCATTGTTGATATGAAATGTTTTATTGTTGAAATGACACCCTTTAAGGGGCGGGATACATCAGGCAGATTGCGATTGTTCACTTCTTGTAGCTGATGGGTTTGGAGGATCTTTGACAGAGGATGTATTGTAATGGCTGTAGATGGCTGGACCAAAATGTCAGGTTTTGTGGGGTGTTTCTAGCAAACGTGGTTCAAGGAGTCCAAAGCTCACTGATGTGTGTGAGGAAGAAGGCTGACTCTGTGCTCAGGCTCCTGTCCTGAACACTGTGACACATGAAAATGTTTCAGAACTAGATTATGGAGCTAATAGACAAAGTTGGCCAGTTTTTCTCGACACTAGTTAATTTACTCTGGCCTAAATCAGTTC